TGCGCCACTTCTTGTTTAGGCCTCTGAAAATCATAAACAAAACTTTAAAGCATTCAGCAAAGTTGGTATGAGACACTACTTTTAACCAGTTCCCTACCACTAGGAAAACTCTAACGATATAAGCAATCACTGTGAAAATAAACAGCCATGCCTCCTCACTATATATAAGCTGCTTTTTAATTATATCTCCGAGCCCCGTTCCGTATTCTGTGTGCGTGCTCCCAGTTCCCAGACTGTCTTTGTGCTCGGTAAACCTTTATAAGTACTGTTTCGGTGATCCAGTGGTTTTACTTCTGCTGGCTGAACTCTAAGAGTACCTCAACATTTTCATCTATCGACTGGGCCAACGAGGGAACCCCGCTTCATACTGTTGTGGTCATATGTGCCTGGATTTAGTGACCACTCAATCAATAATACAGAATCACAGTAAGTCACAGTAAGTCTTCAGGTCAGGCAGTGCAGGTCTTCTGTTCTGTTCTTCCTCGGGGATGCCCGAATAAAATGATCCCTAAAGCTGCTGTGAAAAGCTTCACCCAAAGAGGCGTGAAGTTCCAGGAGGGAAGAGAGGAACCTCACGTCGCAGACCCAGCCTGGCTGGTCCTCGAGGGCAGAACCAAAGAAGAGGCTTACCGGCAGAAAGCCCACCCCCATGATCTCGGTGAAAGTCTTAAATCCTAACGTCCCATTGAGCAGGGGGCCGAGCTGAATCCACTCCTGCGCCCTGATCCGGAGAGTCGTCTGCACGAGTTCAGTGACCAGGAACAGGAGGAGAGACGGTGCACATCGCTGGTTCTCAATCGGGGCGCGATTTGGGCTCCCACTCTCCCCCTCCCCGGCCCCCTCACTGTGACACTTTGTGCGTCACCTGCGGGCTCCTTTTTTGGAGGAAGCAGAGAGGGAACGGCCTTGGAAAAGGGTGTCTGGAATGCCGGGTGGCCTCTCGGAAGGCCCTCGGAGAGTGAAGGGGAAAGGTCACGCTGGTCCGAAGGCAGGAGATAAGGAAGCGACGTGCAGCTCCCTGGTGGTCTAGTGGCTAGGATTCGGCGCTTTCACCGCCGCGGCCCGGGTTCGATTCCCGGTCAGGGAACTTCTTTTGTGCCGCCTGCTTTCCCCGCAGCACTGAGTCTTCAACTCCCGCCGAGGTAAGGGAAACGGTAGCGGCCGATACTCAGGGCACCCAGGTCTTGCTTAGCTCCGTGTTAGCCCTCCCCGCCGCCGCGCCAAGTGGCTTTAGAGGGCTTCTGAGCTTCTTGCTCAGCTTTCCACAGCCCTGCAGAGCTTCCACAGCCCCTGTGGGGCTGCACCCGAGCCCGCGCCCCTTGCCACCTCAGGCGCGCAGGTCAGGCTGAGCTCTGAAGAAGCCTCTGAGGGAAGCCAAGCCCAGTCATGGTGTTACTAGGTACCCTCGAAACGGGCCCGTCTGGCTGAGACGCCTCAGCTCAGTTCGCGGATGAAACGCTCCGGAAGAGGTGCCTGGAGGCAACATCCGCGAGGGCTGAGAGGAAGGTGAGCGCTGGGCCAGGTCCTCCAGGGCTGTCCCGTTTGCAGATGAAGCGGTGGAGGGAGTTAACATCAGTTAACTGACCCAACGAAGGCAGCATGTGGAAAGCATGCGAAAAATGGAAAACTGTTGCCATAAGCAGAAGGTAAGAGTAGAAATCAACACCAGTCAGTATATCAAAACGATGCCACCCTCCACGGTCAAATCCCGCAGTTTCTACAACGGCTGCTGCATTTAAACCCTGTACACTCTACCAGGCCCTGGGCGCGTTTTCCCTTTTCCCGTGGAGGCTCACTCCGAAGACCTGTTGGAATCAATGTTGCGTGCACTGGAAGGCAAGAGGAGAGCGAGCGAGAGCCAGGGGAGATGCTGTGGACCGAGCCTGCAGAGGCTGTAGGTGGAGTGTGGAGATGAGACAGCGCAGCGGCTGCGAATCAGTGCGTCGGGAGCCACTGCTGAAAAGCGGTCAGTCTTGCGGGCCGGGCAGAGGGTTCTCCTGAGTGTTGGGCGGGGTGGGTGAAGGAGGGGGCGGCGGTGGCGTCCGTTGGATTTCTTTGTGGAGAGCAGTTTGGAAGAACAGCGAGGGCCGGGGGTAGGGGAGGGTGCTGGACCCCAGTGAACGGTGGAGGGGTGGGAGGCTGCCCTGTGCCTGCGGGGTGTGTGCTCATACTTACCGGGCACAGGAGAGACTGTGATCACCAAGGTGGTTTTCTCAGGACGGGGCTCTTCTGTTGCTCTCGGGACGTGCTGACCCCTGCGATTTCCCCGTGTGTGGGAAACTACCGCAGAGTTTGTGCTAATGGGGGACTACCTTCGTGCTCTTCCCCTGTTACCCTTCGGTTCATGAAGACTACTGTCTTCCGTGGTGCCTCCCTGCGCTCGGCTCCCCAGGTGCCCCACGACCGGCGCGCCACTGCTAGGGAAATCGGGTCTGCAGGCCCCATCCTCCTGGCTTTCCTATTTTGTGACCAAAGCGTATGGATGGGTCCTGCTCCTTGCGCCAGGCCTCCTGTCTGGCCACGAGCGCCGGCCCGCTTCTGGCCACGCGCGTGTGTGCGCGCGCGCCGGGCTCCAGCCCACTGGGCTCGGCGCTGGTCTGGGCAGCCGGTGCAGGCTGGCTGGCAGGCATCAGCAGGGGAAAGGCCACTCGGCTGGGGTGGTGCGGAGGCGTGGGAACGTCGCCTCGCCCGAAGGCCTCGCGCCCCACCGTCCCTTTGGGACCAGGTCGGAGCGAGGCACCCCTTCCAGGAACATGAGGGCCCGAGGCCTCCTTTCGCAGGGAGGCTCCCGGGGCCAGCGCGCCCTTCCCCTGCCCGGGCTAGATGACTCTTCTGGCCTCTCACCCGGCCTCCCCTTCTCCGTTTTCCTCTTTCACCCCGGGGGCTGTGTCCCTGGGGAGACTAAACGCTCCCCGCCCGCCCCCTAACCCTCAGAAATGACCCAGCCCCCTCTCCAGTGCTGACGGAGGGAGTTGGATCCGTGTTTTCCTACAACGGGAGGAGAGAGAACCTTTGGCGGCAGGAAGCAACCTGTTCCCTTGCTGGGTCTCTTGGCTCAGCCCATCGAGGGGCCTGGCTCAGGGACCCGGAATCTTCGCTCCTCCTTGAGGGGCCTGGGTCGCGCGCGGCCCACGGAGGTGGCCGGGTTGGCTTCTCTCCCACTGCTCCTCGAGGGAGAGCAGGAGCATCCTGTGGGGCCCCCTCTTATCCAGAAGAGGCACCCGGGAAATGATCCAGCAGAAGCCGGGACTCCGCGCAACGGACCACTTCGGAGCGACGCTTTGGTTGGCGGGTCGTTGCCCCCGAGGGCCTCGGAGAGAGCAGAAATCATCCAGGACGATGCGTTCTTCAGCGCCTTGACTGAGACAAACGGGAAGGAGGGTGTCTCCCAAGAGGGCTGCCGCCCCGAAGCCTCTGGTAGCAGAGGGGCTTGTGGAGCCAGAGGGCCCCCTCTCCGCCAGGGTTGTCAGTCGGCTGCTGCAGAGATCTCACCTGGCTGAGGTCTCCTCTTCCTCCTCCCCTCCTCCCCCACCTCCTTTTCTTCCCCTTCTTCCCCCTCCTCCACCTCACCCACCTCACCCCTCTTCGTTTTCTATCCTGATGTTCCTTGAGTGCCTGTCGTCCTTTTGTGCCACGGGACATGTCACCTCTGCCGAAGATCACACAATTCCTTAGGTTGCTCTGAGCTTCAAATAAGGAAATGTAGGTAACGGTGCCAAAAATTCTCAATAATTGTGATCTCTTCTTGTTTTTATCAGTAACATCATCTGAATCATCAGGACTGTCCTTTTTTTTTAACAATTGCATTTTCATTTTTGGGATATATTAATATACATTTAAACATTACAATAAACAAATATATACAAAAATAAGTAAATAAAATAAATTATAATATATATACACAAAAAGATAAATAAAATAAAATAAAATAAACCGAAAAAAATTACACAGTTGCTGAGTAATGAATTGGTTCTGCGATTTTATTATGAAAAATAGTGTGTAGAGAATATTATTACGCATATAACCTTGGCAATTCTGCAGGGTAGAGGCTGTCTTTCAGCCACCCTGTAGACAACCTGTCAAGTGTTAAACACCTTAAATGCAATTTTGCCAGCAATCAAATGTGAATGTACTTGTAAGGCAACATAATCAACGGGTACTGAAGATACTTAATAAATTCTTACAAAACAAGAAGAAACAGACAGATCTGTAGGAAAATCACCAAGGTCTTGGGGCGGGGGTGGCGGGGATCCTGTAAGAGAAAGTCCAGATGGCTACTAAATATGTAATGGTGCTCAAATTTATCACCAATAAGGGATGTTAGAAGCGAAATCCCCACGAGAGAACATTACAGATTGGTGCAGGAGAAAGAGGAGAGGTGGGAGGAGGGGGAGGGAGGCAAGAGAAAGAGGGAGAGGAAGGAGAAGGAGCAGGAGGAGGACAGAGGAGGAAAGAAGTAGAAGAGAGAGGGAGAAGGAAGGGGGGAGAAGCAGGTGGAGGACACTTGCAGGTAGAAAAGTATGAAGTGGTGAGTGAGGTGAACCTCAGGGCCTCAGGACTCTGAGAAGTCCCCATTTACATCGACTCCTTATTGTCTTCTGCTCAGAACTGCCTTGCAGATTTTAGCTCTCATTTTCTTACTGCTTGTGGTCAGAACCACGATATAATGGGGTTTGCCTGTGCAGCAGGCAAAACAAGGAAGCGTCAAAAGAAAAAAGGGAGGGGAGAGAGGAAGAGAGACCACTAGGTGTCTTGCATTGGCCGGGAATCGAACCCGGGTCTCCCGCGTGGGAGGCGAGAATTCTACCACTGAACCACCAATGCTCCCTTTACGTTTCTCCCCACTCTAGGTCTCTAGCAAGGATCTCCAGAGTGACCGACGGCCCGGCAACGGGGAAACTAGAACGTTCCCAAACAGGCTTACACCGTTGTCTTTGGCAGACAGAGCTAACGGATTGACAGGCACTCCAAGCAAAGGCTGGCGAAGAAGATGTACAATCAGGCGACAGCAAAAAGTGGGAACATTCCAATGAAGATATCATAATATCGGTCCTGTCAGCTCACACCACACCTCTGAAAAAGGCTCTTTCCAGCCGTAGAACAGACCCCTGCAGAAAAACTTCGGAAACTCATCCAGATCCCTTGTTCAGGACCCTATACCTTCAACTGTCAACCTCAGACTCTAACCTTAGAAAATAATCTAACTTTCTAGGTTAGGCAAGTAAAATTCTAATCCAGAGAAGAAATAAGAAGCAGAAGCAGAAGTAGACTGGAATTAGAAGAAGGAAAGGGCCAGAATCAAAATAGAGATAATGGAGAGACATTGGCCGTGCATTCCCGGCCAATGCACGCTTTTCCTTGCGTGGCTCTCCCCCGTTTCCCATGGGCAAGAGATGTGTGTCTGTCCTTTCTGGGTTGTACTTGGCCTCTAGGAGTGGCCATTCCGCCCTCGAGTTAATTCCACAGAAGAAGATTCTGAGGACTTGGTATCAGTTGGGCCGGGGGAGGGGTAAGGGTTGTTTTTGTTTTTGTTTTTGTTTTTGTTTGCAGTCCTTCGAGGCCGTGCAGCGATTGTGCATGCTTCAGTGCTAGACCTGCAGTGCCGCAACCACTGGCCAGAGGTTGTCTTTGAAGCCTCATGCGTCACCGGGCGGTTTTCTTCCGTTTCGAATACTTGAAATAGAAACCATTGTGACTATTATTCTTTCTCCTATTCTATTGTGGTTACATAGCAGTATGGCCTGGGAATCAAGGAATGAAGGTCACCGAAGGACAGCAGCTGCAGCTCGAGAAGAATCATGGCCCAAGGAAGGGGGATGCTTGTGGGAAGGAATTTCCAAAATGTTACATAGCTGGAATCATTCTGTTTCAGTTTTATCAGACTGGATTCTTTCACTTAGTGAGAGTATATTTAAGGTATTTTCATCTTTTTTCACAATTCCCCAACTTGCCTAAACTCCAAGGACGGGGCAGATGCCTGAGAATTTCCAATGAAGAAAAAGCTTGCACTGGCTGGGAATCGAACCTGAGTCTCCCGCGTGGGAAGCGACAATTCTGCCATTAAACCACCAAAGCCCTATCTACTCCCGACTCTGGTTGATGTATGTGGTAATTGAAAGCGTGCTGGCCAGCGCTGGTGCGTATGTTGGCTGTTGGGCAGAGGGCAGATAGAAACAAATCTCTTGGAGGTCCAAGGTGATGGTCGTTTCCATTGCTGAGCTCCAGTTTATGACTCAGCCTCCACCTAGCTGGGCTTCTCAGCAAGAGTAGCAGGACTGCAGGTCTGCAGCTCCCATCTTTCAAAAAGTCATAATGATTCTTAAGTCCCAACATGTGAGGCAGGCTTCCAGGCTACTTACTTCAGTGTAATTTCCCCAGGGAAATTTTGGGAAAGCAATCTCTCTGTAGTTCAATTCCTTCAGAGGACCAATGTGTTACCGTTTCACCCACTGTAAATTTTCTGAAGATTAGTCTGTTCCTTATGTAATCCAAACACTGAAGCCTATACCTCATATGTATCTCACAGTCACAAATGCAACAAGGAGTCCAATTTAGATTGGCGTCTCCTGTATAACCAAATACTGATTGCAAACTTAATATTAATTAATATCTTGATAAGTATGATATATCACAAATCCGTCCAAATGCTTCAAACACCTTAAAAAGTGGACACATAGTATTGTTGTAATGGTTACAAGACCGACTCACTGCTCTTGTACATAAAAAATGGTTACAGAGAACTGATTCCCTTGGCCAAGGTG